CCTTTGAAGCCTTGAAGCATATCTTGACTAGTGTATCGGTTTTAGCCATGCTCAACTTTTCTAAGTAGCTTGTGATTGAAAGTGACGCATCAAGAACTGGATTAGGGGCTGCACTTATGCAAGAAGGAAGACCTTTAGCTTTTCTGAGTAAAGGGTTGTCACTCAGGTCAAAACTAAAATCTGGTAGATAGATACTGTTGGTGGTTTGATGGTGAATTCGGAATAGGTATCTATCAAAAAGTGTATAGTTGAAATAAAAAAACAACCTATTCATGGGTAGCTTAAATGGTTAGAGTGAATTGAGGATAATGTAGATAGACGTAAGGTCTCAAGTTCAATTCTTATCTGAGCATCCTCGATTTAAGTGGGGAACCGTGGTAGTGGGTTGTTGTTAGACTCATGAAAATGAATTTATTAAGATGATCAAAATACTTATTTGTGCTTAATAATGAAATCATAGTAAGGCAATTAAAGAATTTATAGGATTATTCATGAAAAATCACATTTTAATTTTTCCTTACAATTTGTGCATGTTTGGAATGAATTTTGGGATTGTGTATATAAGTTGATATTAGGTGTGATTTATTAATTAGGGTTGATTTTGTTCATTTATGCTATTAAGTGGTTACATTGTCATATTTATTTGGGGTTGATTTTGTCGATTTTCAATCATGCAAGGACCACAATGCTATTTGCCATTTTAACTATAAAAAGAAAATGAAATTGCAAAATGGAGGGGCGCAGCTGAAAAACCCTTACCCTTCACAGGATTCTAGCCATTTCTGATCACCCTAGGTCCACCTTTGGTTCGATTCATCTTCCTCTCCATCATCCTGGCGTCGATTCGACTTCCGGTTGACAACGTTTCGCCTCCCACTCGCATCCCTTCAACTTCTAGCCACGTTTTGCCATTTTTCAGTGAAGTTTGAGCTCTCCAAGTTTTGGGTCATCTTCCCCTAGGGTCCTTCCATCTTCGTCAAGCTCCATTGCCATCGATTTGGCTGTTTTTTGATGAGTTTCATCACTTTGCATATTGTGACTCTTCACTTTCCAAATGATTTTTCGCTCACTTTTCTGTGACGTTGCACCTCCCCAGCTACCAATCCTCACTCCACAGCTCGAAAACTACCTCTCTATACCCTTGGATCATCATTCTGCCACCGACCGCCGACGACCACCATTGGAAGCCACTAGAATCCGACAAGTTGTGACTCTTCATCTTCTCCAGCCACAAAGCATACCATCTTGTTGTCGGTTCCATCCTCTTTGCCATGACCAACCCCACGTTCGACTTTCCAGCTTCTGTCAACACCACCATGAGTGGTTGAGCTCCCGATTGCTTGTTATGTGTAGGCGAGATCAGGATCGACACTCACGGATCGAGCTTAAATGTTGGACATTTGGTTAAGTTTCTTGTATTCAGATTATATTTGCTTTTGTTTTAGTTTGTTTGCAACGCTTTAATATTATTCTAATGCTTAACGTGATGAATTGATAATGTCTATTGAGAACGTTTGTTGATATACAACTTTTTGCATAATTGAATTTTGGTTTGAGATTATTGAATGTTGATGATGACTTTAAATTGCTTCGATGCTGATTGCAATCAAGTTGTATTAGCGTTTAATATCATTTCTACTACGAATTCATTTGTTGTGTAATACGTTGATTGGATGATACAAAGTTGATAGGTTTTACTTGTTGGCTTTATACCAACTAGTGTTATTTAATTGTTAGAGCTTTCCGTTAATCGATGATAATCTTTAACCAATCGATCTATAACTAAGACGATAGGGAGAGACAAGATATATTATACCTAAATTGTCGGAAAAACATTTTATGTAATTTGCCTAGCCTTGTAGGTTTAGGAAGTTTAAGTGCGGGGAGAGGAATTGTGGGACTTAGTCTTGGGTCAAACCGTGGGACTTAGTCTTGGGTCAAACCGAATCCGTAAAGGCAATGCCTTTATTATTGTGTTTTAGTTAGTAATTTTCATTTTCTGCTACTAGTTAGTTTCCTAATTAGTTTAATTAATCAATTTTCCAATTTCCCGTTGCTTAAGTCAAATATACACTAGGTTGTTAATCTTGCTCCCTATGGATTCGACCATGCTTACCGCTAACTACGATACTTAGGTTTTATTTTGTGGCTGTGATGACTAGTTCGACAATATTTGGTGCCATTATCGGAGAGCAACGTGCTTTTGATTTTGTGTGTGTTTGGGTTTGTAAATACTTTATGTTTAATTTTTCTACGTTCTTTAATTTTCATTAGGACAGTTTAATTCGTGTTTGTTTTTATTTTATAGGAAGATTGCTATTGGGAAAATACTGCAGTGTGTCGTGTGCATTAAAGTTTTAGCGTGAACCGATTGTGAAACTTTTTCATCTTTTTTGCTTCAGTTCTCTTTATTTTTAGTTAATTGTTTGTGTGGTTGACTGCATGTTTGAGTGGTAGTTTATTAGTTGATAGTTTGCTTATTGTTTTTGTATATTTTGTTTTTATTCATAGGATTTGGTTTTTGTTTTAGGATTATTTCTTTTATTTGATTGATAGTTTTAGTTATTTGCTTGTGTGAATTTGTTGGTTAGAGTTTTATTAAATTTTAATTTAGTTTTAATTTTCTTTATGTGTGCTTTTTAGGATTTTCTTTTTAGGATTTGTCAGTTTCATGCATTGTTGGTTCGGAACTTAGATAAGAATAGTGCAGTAATACAATACAACATTATACATTATAATGTCCCATACCAAATAAATTTTATACAACTATGTAGATTGTAGAATATTGACTAGAACCAAAAATAATTAATAATATAACTATTTAGAACGGCTTATAATCGGTGAATATGAATAGAAAATTAAATTATAATTTTATCTCATCTAACTTGAAGATGGGGTTAAAAATAAAATATGTGGGGGGCCAAATATCGATTTCCAAATAAAATACACAAGTATTCGGGCCTTAAAAATTTGTTTAAGACAAAAAATTATGTTTTAGTTAAAAAATGGGCTCACACAACATAAAATGTTTGTATGAGAATAAAATTTAATTAAGTCATATGTAAATGTAGTGCAAGTTAATGATGATTTAATTATCATTCTAATTGATTGGTACAAGAGGATCTTTAAAAGGATATTAATATATAAACAAGGAATAAAATCCTATTTTACTTGTTAGCAAGGGAGTCAAAGGATTACTTTTCTACTAAACAAAAATGTGTAAGATTTATCAAATTCATTAAACTTTTGCGGAATGAGTTGGATTGTGTTCGTTATTGCTTGGAGGAATGGTAATTCGACATCAACACAATATCAAGCAAATAAGACATAATGTAAAGCACACTAAAGACTTTTACATGGTTCCGCTAAAAACTATTTTAGTTTACCTCCATGGCACCAAGTTCAACTCAATCAAATCAACTAGCATCAAACAACAATGTCAATACAAGTTAGAAGTTATACACATCAAAGAGTAAACTATTTCTTGTTTACAAATTTAACTTCACCTCTCCATTGAACACACGCTCAGCCACGATACAATATTATACAATATAATATCCCATACCAAATATATTTTATACTATTACGTAGATTGTAGAATATTGACTAGAACTAAAAATAATTAATAATATAACTATTTAGGACAGTTTATAATCGGTGAATATAAATATAAAATTAAATTATAATTTTATCTCACCTAACTTGAACACGGGGTTAAAAATAAAATAAGTGGGGACCTAAATATCGATTCCCAAATAAATTAAACTAATATTCGGGCCTTAAAAATTTGTTTAAGACAAAAATGGGCTCACTCAACATAAACTAATGTCTGTATGAGAACAAAATTTAATTAAGTCACATGTAAATGTAGTGCAATACGTTTTTCATATAATATGCATTCATTAGTATTATAATAATTAATGATTCGTTTGTGCTTAACAAGTTATGCTATTTTAATTATCATTCCAATGATATGTAAACAAAAATGTTTTCTACCAAACAAAAATGTGTAAGATTTAGGATGTTCCATTAAAAAAAAAAAAGAATTAACATTGAACCCAGTTAGTAAAACGTTTTAGTTTGCTGTTAGAAGGAAATTAATAAAATACTAACACAACGAATGACCTATTTCAATCAACGGCTAACTAAAAAGCTACGGGGAAGAATCCAGTCGAATTAAGTCTACGTAAACAAAATTAAAAATCATTAATTAAATACTTTAGTAATTTTTTATTGGTGATTCTTGCATAACTTTCATAGTAGAAATAACAAAACTTGATTAAAGCAACCATTCCTAGACTTAGGATTTTGCTATGCCGTGGTTGATACATATTAATATTAATTAATAGAAGTTAAGTGGGATTATGACATAGGACATATGATAATATTTAATTAATGTTTATCCTATAAATAAGGGATTTCAGCAAGCTTCATTCATAGTCTCGTAGACCATGGATTTGAAGTGAGGTTGGTCACAAGGCGGCAGCTTTCGAAGACCAAGAACAGGTACCTCAATTTGTTCAGGAGGTAGCAACTTCGTTCGATCTAAGACCAGAAAACTTTGGTCAGAAGGTCATTTGAAGACCAAGAATTTATAATCTTGCTCAGAAGGCATTTATTGTAGAGGAAATTACAACAAATATCATCCTGCTCCCAGCAGGAATTAATAGGTATAATATTCTTTAAATTAAGTAGCTTGTTTATAATGCATGTAGCTCAACATTTTATATGTTGTGCTTTGCATATCTTTTACAATTTCTTCTTTCGGTTAATTGATTCCATATTTAACAGGTTTTCAAATTTTGTCTTGTCCACAAGATCTGTAGACAAATTCCACTGTTCTGATCATCATTATGAGTATAAAATTGACATCACCGACGACATCCATCAGGGTAGCATTGCCCTTTTGTAGTGGAATAAATAAGCTTAATTTTACTGCGGCTGGTGTCCGGGAGAAGAAGAGACGTAAACAAACCCGCAGCTTTAAGATCAACAATGCGATGTCATCACTAACAGAATTTCAGAAGAATGTGCTGGAGATCATAAGTACTGCTGCAACGCCCATGGAGATCTTCAATCAAATGCTTGTTGTTCCCATCATTAACACGGTGTCTGCAGCCATGGAGGAGAAATGGGAACTTAATAACGGGAAAGCAGGGATTCTTGAGCCATCTACTGGAAGATTGTCACAGGATGGACTTATTTTTCAGCAAAACTTTACTGTCAACTCATATGAGATAGGAAGTGATTTCAGAATATCCATTGAGGCCTTGATGAATTATTTACAGGTTTTAGTTATACCTATTTTATTCAGAAAGTCGTTAATTAAACTTGATGTATTTTCCAACTGCCTCTTGTTTGTGTATAGGAAACATCACTCAACCATTTCAAGAGTGCAGGAATACTGGCTGATGGTTTTGGGTCAACATTAGAGATGACTGCAAATGACCTCATATGGTTGGCTTGTCGGTCGCATATGGAGGTCTATCACTATCCTTCATGGTAATTCGCTTTACTACTGCTTATTTGCTTTACAATTTACAATATTTAATGCTCTGGGTGATAATTGATTTGATGTTCATAAAACTGCCTAGAATCTAAACTTGAATTCATGCATGTTCTATGTAAAACTTTATCTATTATTAAATAATCCGCAGCTTGTTTCGCGTGGATTAATTTATGCGCATATTTATCTTAATGTAGTTTGATTGGGATAGCATGCATCATATATAATTAATTTCGCGTACACGAAACTTGACTAGCCATATAATACATGTGCTTTTTTTTGAAGGGCCGATGTTGTTCAAGTAGAAGGTTGGATGTGTAGGTCAGGGAGGAACAGTATGCGTCGAGAGTGGCGGATCCGAGACTTGAAGACAGGCAAAACTCTGATGCGGGCATCAAGGTTAACCTATTTCTACCAATCTATTCCTTGAATTCAAATATATTTTAAATTACAGGTGGACATTTGTAATTCAATTAAATTTGGATCACAATTATAAAAACTATAAATTTGATCTATTAGTATTTACTAGTATAAGTATTTTAAAATTTTCAAAACTTTAATTACTTGTTCTATTTAAGAATATGTGTGTATATATACATATATGTGAAGGTGTACGGTGTACAGTTGAAATTCATGTTAAAAAATTTCTGATGTGCGAGCATGAGAAGCTGAAATGAGTTTTACAATTTTGATGATTTTAATTTGCATGTTTTGGCTATATATTCAGTTTATTTGTGCTGATGAATAAGAAAACAAGGAAATTTTCTAAGGCAAGCGAGGAAGTCATGGGAGAACTGAAACCTTTTTTTATGCACTTTGACCTTCCCATGAACAAGGATAGCAGAAAACTTCAGGGGCTTGATATTGATAAAGCAGATTACATTCGCACCGGTTTAAATGTAAGTGTAATCAATCTCTCTATATATGGAGAAGAGATTTGCAATTAGGAGCATGGTTGTTAGTATCTTACAATATCCGATACGTATCATACGATACGATTCGATACAGGTCGCTAATGATACGTATCAGAGAGTGTATCATAAACCTTTCGATACATTGATATGTATCCTATGATACGATACGTATTCGTTTATATCCTTAAAAATATCGATATAGATCGATACGACTTTATTAATTTGGGCCAAAGGCCCAAAAAAATTTCCGGTCAAAACCGGGTCACCCAACCCAATTCACTAAAACCTGTCTAAATTTACCCATTTTGCATGGAGAAAGTGAAGAGGAATACGTGTTACCCATTTTACATGATAATAATAATATAAGTGGAGATATCATTGATCTTGGAAATGATATGAATGGTTGAGAGAAAATAATATAAATTCTTAATTTTGATTATGTAATACAATAATTTAAAGCCAATAATACTACAAAATTCTTTAATTAATCTTAGGAATGATATTAATTTTTTTTAAAATTTTGATTATTTTATTAATTTTTTTGAAAAAGGCATATCCTACGATACGATACGATACGCGATACACGATTAAAAAAATTAAGATTTCGATACATGATACGATATCTGATTTGACAACCATGATTAGGAGTACTAACTGGTTATTTTGTCATCAAAATTCAGCCTGGATGGACGGACATGGATGTCAATCAACATGTGAGTCATATCAAACTGGTTAACTATGTTCTCGAGGTAGATTAATTATTTTTAACTATCATCTTTATTGGAGATCTTTCTTCTTTATCCACATGTATTAATCTTTATTGCATGTGATGTTTACTTGAGAACATATCTGTGAAATTTTTTTTTTTTATCAGGGCGTTCCTCGCTCAGTTGTGGAGAGTGATGAGCTTTGCGCCATGACTTTGGAGTATCGGAAGGAGTGCAATATGGATAGTGTGCTGCAATCTCTTTCCAAATTCAGTAGCAATCATTTTATAAATAATCAAGAAATTGAGTTGGATCATTCGCTGAGCCTTGAGTGTGGAACTGAATTAGTAAGGGGAAGGACCAGCTGGAAGAAATAGTGTACCAAGGACAAAGTTTCTCTATAGAACTCATCACTACATAAATTATATAATTACGCATGAAACATCTATAATTTAATATAAAAAATAAATGTATGATTGTACATTTATATCACTGTTATATCTGCTTTATGGCTTTAGGGTTTATGTATTCCTGCTAGGTTTTCACTGTACCAAGTCTCTCTCTATCATTTATGTTTCATTTTCCTGTTCCACCCATCATTATTACAATAGAGCAATATGAGCCGATGTGATGTTTAGTGCAGAAACAAAGTGAATCGAAAAAGAAAAAGTTCATAAAATTTGTGTACTGATATTCTTAAGTACAAAGTACAGTGAGTAACCCTTTTATAGTGTTGAGATATTACAAATAGTAACTAACTGTTAGACTTAACAGTAACTACTATACTAAAAGTTCACAGTAAACAAATGGCATTGAATTTTCTTCTTTGCTAACATTCTCCCTTAAGATAAGCTGGGAAGATTTGTCAACTTCTCACTTCACTAACATTTTCCCTGAAATTTAGCATCATCAAGTCAGCTCTAGTTTCTTTATCATAAACAGCATCATCAAAATCAGCAACTGCAGCATTATATGAAATCAATAACACCAAACTCAACTATCACCGATAAAACCAGTTCAGTTTACAATTCAGTTTGCTGCCATCAATACCAAGAAACAAAATCAACTGTCACCAATAACACCAGTTCAGTTTATTGCCATCAACACCTTGAGACAAAATCAACTATCACTAATAACACTAGTTCAGTTTGCTGCCATCAGCACCAAGAGACAAAATCAACAGCTGCATGATTTAGTGAAATCAACAGCACCAAACTCAACTATCATCAATAACACCATTTCAGTTTGTTATCATCAACACCAGGAGAAAGAACAATAACACCAGCTCAAAAATCAGCAACTGTAGTAGTTTTGTAACTAAGACAGCACAACTTGATTAACAGCAGCATCAATTTTAGTTTCAGCTTTAACATTAGAAGTTTTAACTATTAGCTTGTCCCGCAGGATTTCAAACCTTGAAGCTGATAGAGATTTAGTGACGATGTCAGCCTTTTGGTGTTCGGTAGGAACATATTAAACTTTCAAATTGTTAGCCTGAACTTGTTCTCTTACATAGTGTCATCCAACTCAGTGTGTTTTGTCTTAGCATGAAAAAATAGATTTGATGCAAGAGATCTATACTCCGATTATCACACCAAATGATAGGTACTTCGAGAAGAGTCAAGCCAATTTCAAATAATAAACTTCTAAACCAGCGCTTTTCAGTTGCCCCTTGTGTAAGTGCCTTATATTCTGCTTCAATGATTACAGCCACTACTTTTTACTTCCTAGAGCTCCATTGTGATAACTTTGGACCAAGAATAAAGCGCAACCATTTGTGGACCTTCTGTCTTCAATGCTACCTGCCTAGTTAGCATTATTGTAGCATTTTAGATTAAGTCTATGAGGTTTTTCAAATTGAACTTCAAATTTGTAATGCCTTTGAGATATCTAAGAATCTTTTGCATGCTTGCCAATGTAGTTAGTAGGGGCTTTGAGAAACTGACTCATTTGTTGACTGAATAGGCAATGTCAGATCTAAAAGTTTTAAGCTTGTGGCCCCTTTATACTTCTGTAGAGTTATGGTTTATCAAATAGTTCAATATCCCTCAATGTCATTTGTTGCCTAAACCATAGGTGTAGAGCATGGCTTGAGTCCATCATTCCAGTTTTAACTAGTAGGTCCTTGGCATATCTTCTTGACTCATATGAATGCTGAGTCAGTTCTGAGAACCTCAAACCAGAGAGTATTTAAGACCCAATGTTTTCAATGCGAATTCAATGTTCAGTTTATGTAATAGTCTTGTACAAACTTAACATCACTTCCTATCAGAGAATGTCACAACACAACAACTACATATAGGAACTGATCATTTGCTTATAAATAAGAGACTGGAATCTGACATAGAGCTACAAAACCCACATCCTAGAAAAGCAGTTTTGACTTTTCAAACTAGGCTCTTGGAGATTGTTTCAGGCCATGCAAAGCCTTGGTTAGTTTAAACATGAAGATGATTTTTCAAATTAAAAAAAAACCCGTAGGTTGAGTATGTTAACACTTTTACTAAGCTCTCATTCAAAAATGCATTATTGACATCCATTTGTTGAATATCCCATCCATAGGTAACTGCCAAGCCAACACAACTCATTGTAGATGACTTGATTATTGGACAAAATTCTCATGATAGTCAACTCAGGGTTTTGTTGAAGCCTTTAGCCACCAGCTGACTTTGAACCTTTGAATTGAGCCATCAAGTTATGTTTAATTCTAATACCAACTTACTCCCAACTATATCCATATGTGACTTAGTTGGAACAAGTTCCCAGTGTTATTTGAGAGCATTTATTAAAATCAGTTTCCAGAGCAGCTTTCTACACTTATGGGCTCATTGGTTTCAAATGAGAAGACTATTTGTGGAAGAAACTAACATAGAGTTATGAATTCTAGCTTTTGACCTGGTAAGCATGGGATAGTATTTGTGGTTGTGTATCAAATGGTAAGGCACTTTGAGATGAATATTATCATGAGAGTGATCTAAGGATATATGTTCAATAGACATATTTATTAGATTTGGTATAAAGGGTTGTTTATCAAATGGTAGGTCAACAGTAAGATGAATAGTATTGACTAACCTACGGAATTAGGTGTACAGACTTAAGAGATCTGTGTATTGGCTAGGTGATGTAGACTCAATGGCTAATCTGGTAAACTAGACGATGTACTGGGAACTGGATCAGGCTAAAAGGACTTGGTCATTGTTGAATCTTGCTGATCAGTTGTGGTATATTGAGATGCATTAGCTAAAGAGACGTAGGTGATGGAAAAGAGGCATCATTATTAAAAAAAAGATGTATGCAGAGGAATTTTTCTAATTGGAATAGAGGTGCATTTAAATGTGTTAAGGAATTTTTGAAGCTCATCTAAAATCGAGTTATCACCAGATTCGAGTGCGTTTGAAGATACCCACAAAACAACTTTAGAACTCACAAAGGGCACTACGAGTTCTTGGTTATGCCCTTTGATTTGACCAATGCACCCTCGACATTTCAAGCCTTGATAAAGGAGATCCTTCGGTCGTACCTTAGAAAATTTATACTTGTATCTTCGGTGTCATCTGGTATCAACAAGTCAATGAGTGAACATGTACAACACCTCAAATCACCCTTCAAACCTTGGTGGAACATCACTTAGTAGCCAACCAGAAAAGTGCTTCTTTGAACAAGGAAAGTTAGAGTATCTCAGCCATATAATCTTAGTTGAAGGGGTCGCAGTGGATCCATCAAAAATCGAAAGTATAGTCAATTGGCCAATTCCAGAGATGTGGAAGCTCTTAAAGCTTTTGAGGCTAACTAGGTACTACAGAAGATTTGTCCAAGATTACAGTAAAGTGGCACTTCCTCTCACAGCTTTATTAAAAAAGACTCATTTATATGAATGAGTCACTCAAGGAGCCTTTGAAGCCTTGAAGCGTATCTTAACCAGTGTGCCAGTTTTAGCCATGCTCAACTTTTCTAAGCAGTCTGTGACTGAACTGATGCATCGGAACTGGATTAAGGGTTGCACTTATGCAAAAGGAAGCCTTTAGCTTTTATGAGTAAAGGGTTGTCACTTAGATCAAAACTAAAATCTGGTGGATAGATACTATTGTGTGATTTGATGGTGAATTCGAAATAGGTATCTATCAAAAGTGTATAGTTAAATAAAAAAAACAACCTATTGTGGGTAGCTATAACGTCCACATGGAGATACGTAATTTAATTTTCCCTTATACCTTTAGTTGATTTTTGCTAAAGTTATTTTGAGAAAATGTAAGAAAATGCCTTAAACTTGCATTAAGGGTAAAATGGTATTTTCACTCAAATTAGTTGAAAAATGGGGAGTGAAAAGAGATAGAGTTTCATGGAGAATATATAAAATGAGGGTATTTGGTAATTAACTAAGGGACATAGATGGAATTTTAAAGAAAGTTTAAGGGCAAAATGGAAACTAATATATATTTATGTTATATCAAGGATTGAAGAGTGAAACCCTAGCCACTCTTCAACCCATTTTCACGCCACCTCTCCTCCAAATCCTCTCAATTTCTTCACTTCTTTTTCAAAGAATTCCATAGATTTTGGGTATTTTTGAGTGGATTTTCAATCCCAAGCACTTTAGGTAAGATCCTTGCACTAAGAAGTGATTTTTCATTTTAAAGTTTGAATTTTGATGGTTTGTGCTCATAGATTTAAGAGGAAGAGAGTTTGATCAAAGAAGATTTTAAAGGGTGGATGCTCATATCAAGATAAGTAAATCCTATCCTAAGTATGATTTAAGTTATGTTGTGTAGAGAATTTTCTTTATGCTATATATGTCGTTATGTGTAGAATTGTTGATGGTTTGGTGTTTATGATGATCAGAACTTATCCAAGAGAAGTTGTGTTGGTATATTTGTACTTGATGAATGTTTGGATGAAATTTGGAAGAATTAAAGTAGAAATTTTGGAGTGTGTATTTTGGGCAGTTTTGGCGTTAATTATGGGGATGTTATTCCAAATTTTTGGTGGCCTAGAAGAGAGATAGAAGTGTAGCCAAATTAGTGTTATTTGTACACATGAATTGTTTGATGAAATATCGAAGAAAGTGCATGTATGAGTAGATTATGATTATGTGTTACTTTGATGAGTTTGTAGATGGTAGAGAATGACATGTTGCATTCCATAATGCTAATTGCATCTAAACATGTGAATTTAGAAAGAATTATAAGCATGAAACCATCTACATGCATATATATTCATAGAGCATGAAAAGCACTAATTATGTTAAAGAGAAAATAGAAAGAAATGAGAATATTAAAGATATTCAATATGAATTTTTATTTAAAGAAGTGTAAAAAGATAAAAGAGAGAAGTTTGTTGCGATGGGGAGCCCGAGTGACATAGCCCCACATGCACGCCG